TGATCTTTCAGGCGCCCACGACACACCTTTCTTGTGTGACCCTCCTTCTTACAGTGATAGCATCGAATATCAGATGCCTCGCCACTATAAGACTTCTGCTGAATTTTACCTTTCTTCTTGTCGAACTTACCATCCTTTCGCAAGAATTTCCCCTTAACGACCAAAACTTCACCAACTATCGAAGGTTTATGCTCCTTTCGTTCGTTCAACTCCTAAGAATACAAGGATGACTGAAATTCTTCAAAGGTCAGAGACTCTCTTCCATAAAAGAGAGTTTCTTTGAAGTCAGCATGTGATCTGGGAAAAGCATACAACACCAACAATGCTTGATCTTCATCATCGATCTTCACATCAATATTTTCAAGATCAAGAATCAGCTTATTGAACATATCCAACTGCTCAGCCAACACTTTGTCTTCACTCATCTTGAATGAATACAAAGTTTGCTTCAGGTATAGTCGATTCACCAAAGATTTGGTCATGTACAAATTTTCATGTTTCAACCATAACCCCGATGTCGTAGTCTCCTTCGATACCTATCGGAGAACCTTATCACCAAGGCTCAACAATACTGCGGTGTGGGCTTTCTCTATCATGACTTTCTTTTCAGTTTCCATTAACACATCGTTCATGGATGTCTCTCCCTTCAACACTTCCAAACAACCCGGCTGAACCAGTAGAGCTTTCATCTTCAAGCACGACAGACCTAAATTGTTCGTTCCCATGAACTTTTCAATCTCATACTTTGTTGAAGACATCTTCCTCCATGCTCACGGCACCAATTTGTTGTGAAAAACGATGTTTTGAAACAAAATATAAACGCTTTCTTTATCGGCAAGAAACACACAAGGGTTATAGTTAACGGAAAGACAAGAAGAACAATAAGGATTGGTTATAATTGTTATTCTTCACTTTCTCTTTGAATCAGATTACAAGTACTAAAGAATAACAAATAACCCTCTCACCCTAATTAACATTTGCCACACTTTAGATTAGATACTAGTATGTTATTTATAATAAAACCTAACATACTAAACTAATGGGATTTTTAACAATTACCCATTAGAAACTAACATAGGATACAAGCTAACTTAAACAATTAGATCCTTAACACAAGGCCCAATTTGACAAAATAATTCGACACTACATACTAAAACTGACTTCGACTACAGTATGTAAACACTTCGACATCAGCAAGTGAACAATCTTCGAATTCATGCTTGTCTCCTTTCGAATCATAAATGTTATCCTAGTCGACACATCCCAGTCAACAACAGTTGAGTTCGATCCAATATCTCACAGCTGGTTCTAAACCTCGTGACCTTTCTGTCAGTCTGATTTTCGACCTAAGTCTTCCAACCTTTGAAATTCTCAAAATTTACATCCTTAGTCTTCTGGAAGAATACCCGTACCTTTCTGGAATAATTATCGACTATGTATAGAAAATACCTTGCTCTTGAATGTGATGGACACCTTACAGGTCCCCAAAGATCAGCATCGATGTAATCAATGGATCCATGTATTCTTTGTTTGCCTTTGTTGAACTTCACTTAGCCAGTTTTTCCAAGTACACAGGTTTCACAAAATTTTAGTTTTTCGACTTTGTCTCCACCAAGCAGATTTTGTTTCTGCAGTTCAACTAGACCCCTTTCACTGACATGGTCCAATCTCATGTGCGAAATTTCTGTCTACAACAAAGGTTTCGTGGATGCAACATTTTTCGAACCACTTACAACTTCAGCCTCAAGGGTATATAAGCCTTGTTTCTTCACGCCTCTCAAGACTTCCTTCGACCCCTTCATGTAAGGCTGGAAATGAGTCGAGTCGAGTCGAACTCACCTCAGCTCGGCTCGACTCGTTAAGAATTGTTCGAATTCGAGTTCGAGTTCGAGTTAGACACGAACTTTTTTTTAAGCTCAAACTCGACTCGTTATAAGTTCACGAACAGTTCGGTTCGACTCGTTAGGTTCATCTCATTAGGTTCAGCTCACATGGTTCACGAACTTAAAAACTATTTTTTTAAATATATATATTTTTTTAGTATATTTGACATTTTAAATAAATATATATATTTTAAATAAAATATTAAAATAAAATAAAATTTATCATATTGAAATTTAACTTTAACTTCGAAATCTACTAATTCAAAACCTACACAACTTTCAAGAGATACATTTGAGAGTCTAATTCAAAAACTACTAAATTGAAGATTAAATTTGTCTAAGATTTGAAGTAAATATTTAAACCTAATCTTAAAGACAGTATAATTCTTTTCATATGTAATCGAGTTAACTCATGAACCTAACGAGTCGAACTATGTATAGTTCAAGTTCAGCTCATTTAGTTAACGAACTTAATTTTTCGCTCATACTCAACTCATTTGGTTCATGAACCTAGTTCAACGATTTAATTGTCGAGTCGAATTCCGAACTATCTTCGAGTTGGTTTGGTTCATTGCCAGCCCTACCTTCATGACTCTTAGGATAATTTTTCTCCTTGAAGAACATATCCCTTCTTGTCAAATTCACTAAGAGAAATCAAATTTCTCTATAAATCAGGTACATACCTGACTTCAGTCAATAACTTTATTAACTCATCATGGAGCTTGAATCTCACAGATCCAATCCCTGCAATTTTGCAAGATTTGTTGTTTTCCAGCAGCATTGATCCACCATCTTGATCATATAGCTCCTTGAACAATTCTCTGTTTGGAATCATGTGCCAAGTGCAACCTAAATCCATAACCCACGCATTTCTTGAGTCGCCGCTTGAAACCACAAGAATATCAGATAAGTCAAAGTCATCTTGAATAATGGGTGTGTTGTCATTATCCTTACCTTCGTGATCTTTCTGGCGTTTAGGACACACCTTTCTTGAGTGACCCTCCTTTTTACAATGATAACACCGAATATCAGATGTCTCGTCACTATAAGACTTCTGTTGACTTTTACCTTTCTTCTTGTTGAATTTACCATCCTTTCGCAAGACATTTCCCTTAACGGTCAAACCTTCACCAACCGTCGAAGGTTTATGCTCATTTACTTCGTTCAAGTCCTTAGAATACAAGGCTGATTGAACTTCTTCAAAGGTCAGAGACTCTCTTTTATATAAGAGAGTTTCTTTGAAGTGGGCATGTGATCTGAGCAAAGAACACAACAACAACAGTGCTTGATCTTCGTCATTGATCTTCACATCAATATTTTCAAGATCAAGAATCAGCTTGTTGAACATATTCAACTGCTCAGCAACACTTTGTCTTCACTCATCTTGAATGAATATAAATCTTGCTTCAGGTAGAGTTGATTCACTGGAGATTTGGTCATGTACAAACTTTTAAGTTTCAACCATAACCTAAATGTCGTAATCTCTTTTAATACCTGTCGGAGAACCTTATCACCAAGGCTCAACAATATTACGCTGTGGACTTTCTCTATCATGACCTTATTTTTAGTTTCCATTAACGCATCGTTCATGGCTGCCTCTCCCTTCAATGCTTTCAAACAACTCTGCTTAACCAGTAGGGCTTTTATTTTTAAGCGCCACAGACCAAAATCGTTCACTCCGGTGAATTATTCAATCTCATACTTTGTTGATGGCATCTTCCTCCACGCTCACTACACCAATTTATTGTAAAAAACGATCTCTTGAAACAAAGTATAAACAGTTTCTTTATCGTCAAAAAACACACAAGGGTTATGGTTAACGGTAAAGCAAGAAGAACAACAAGGATTAGTTATAACTGTTATTCTTTACTTTCTCTTTAAATCATATTATAAGTACTCAAGAATAACAAATAACTCTTTCGCCTTAATTATAATTTGTCACACTTAATATGAGAGACTAGTATGCTATTTATAATAAAACCTAGCATACTAAACTAATGGATTTTTTAATAATTACCTATTACAAGCTAACTTAGGGTACAAGCTAACTTAAACAATTGGATCTTTCACAGAAAACCCAATTCGACACTACATACTATAATTGACTTCGACTATAGTATGTAAACACTTCGACATCAGCGAGTGAACAATCTTCGTCTTCATTCTTGTGTCCTGTCGAATCATGAAAGCTATCCCAGTCGACAACACTAGAGTTCGATCTAATTTCTCACAAGTGTTAACATAAGTCATTAGCCACCTCTACAAAATATTAAAGAAAATAAAATAAAATGTCATTCCACGTCAGCGTCGTTAGCCAACTCAGAATTTTTTTAACTGACTACTAACGTCAGGAAAGAAAATCAAAACAAACATGAGATATAAGGACTCAGACCTGAAAGAAAAATGTAAGGATTAAACGCAAAAATTTGCTAACTTACAGGGACCAAAATACTATTTAAGTCTATTGACTAATACTCTATCCGTCCCACAATGAGTGACCCAGTTGACCATTGCACACAAATTAAAAAAAAGAAATAAATGAAAGAGAGAATGATATTTTTACTAAAGTACTTTTATCATGTATTGGGAGTGAAGAAAATAATATTAATTAGAGAGTAAAATCAGAAAAAATACATTAAAAATTAAAATGAGTCATTTATTTATAACACTCTTTTATTTCAAATGAGTCATTCATCGTGGAACAAGAGAAAATAATAATTAGACATTTTTTGAGGGGCCAATGTCACCTTTATAAGTGATTCCAAAATTCTGTTTGTGATGATAACTAGGAGTTGTAAGGTGAACAGCACCCATTAATGATTTTTTTGTATCTGCCATCTCACCAATTTCAAGTGGCGTGTTCTTTTTTAAGCACACTTTGTGTGAAAGAATTGAAACACTGATTGGTCAATTAAATTTAGTCTCAACGAGAGTTCCTAAGATATAAGAGTTCTGAAGAAGATTCCCTAAGAAACTTCAGAGTCTTTTCTTTGAGTGAAGGAAATTCTGTAATGAATGTATACGTTTTCATCTTTGGCAAGTGCATACAGATATATATGTCATCATTGATGAGCTATGACAACTGCCACATAAAACTAATCTGTATCAATACAATAATTAGGAGCTTGATGTTACAATTGTAGATGTTTCTTGGGAGTTAATTTCACAGTTGTTCACAGATGCAACTTCTGGATTGGTAATTTGCACTGCATCCGTTTCGGTGTTTTGACTAAAATCAACATGAATGGAAACATTTGATTCAGCTTGACTAGATGGACTAGGTGCACTGTCTGTGCCCGGAGAGGCCTCAGCTGCTCCTATGTCAACATCACGAGGACTAATGTTTTCATTTTCGTTTCCACTATTTTTGAATATGTGACAATCCAAGTCTCTTTGATCAAATATACTTGCCAAGTCGCGAATTATTCGCCATATTGAAGCACTTTGACCATTCTTTAACCAAATATGTTTGTGCTGATGTAAGAATGTGACAAACAATATTAGGAGTGCTAGTAGGGAAGCAATCACTGCAATGAGAAACAGACCCCAAAAGCTTTCTAGTCCAAGACTGTTATTAGAGGAAATTTCTTTATTAGAATCTTTACAACTTTCTTTGAGCCATGCACTCTCAGTTGTTCCCATTTTGTCTCCCTGTGTCACATTTAACATTGCCCTTGTTATGTCTGCTACAAGAGGTGAACCTTTGGGGAACCCCTACAAATTCACCCCACAAAAGTCATTTCAATATTTTAAAAATCAGACAAGTCTAACTATGATCAAACCGACCCATAAATTGTCTGATTTCTGGTTCAACCTTGAACTGACCAATTTGGTATGATTTATAAAACATTGATTACAGGGGAAAGATTATTAGGGAGAGATATTCAAGAAAGAGATATAGATTTAACACAACTTACAAAGCCAAAACCACCAGTTTTAACTCTTGGTTCAATCATGACATACTTGAAATTTGAACAACTATAAGTTCCAAGAAACTGCTTAACATAGGGAACTTCATCAAAAGCAGCATCAATGCCACCATTTGCACTTCCTTTTATGAAAAGCTCATTACATTCTTCAGCTGACTGATAAGGAATGAGCTGAGAATCTTGAAATTGTAAGCGCTTCAAGATTCCATAAACCAAAGAACCTTTGAGATAGCCAACGTTCATCTTACCCTTTAGAAGTTGGTTAACATCTGTAATAGCCGGACTCAGTTGTTGAACGGTTAAGAGTGAAGTCAAACTGGCAGTGTAACTTTGAACCAGAATTAGAACCACAAAAACCCATACAACCACCACAAATCTACTCAAGTTGCTCACCACTTTCTCTCCTACTATCAAAATGAGATAGTTAGCAATAAGGCTCATAATGAATTACGGTTTGATGAATGAGTAAGACTTACTATGAGCAAACACCATAGTTGAGAAGGAAAACGATAAGCTTGTGCCAATTTGATGAGAAGGTGGTCCCCTAAAATCGCTGTTTATTCTATGTTCAAGAACCCAAACAACGAATCCAATGAATACAAATGAACAAGCTGTTGTTACCCAAAGTTGCCATGTCAATGGCTTCAAAAAGGCCCATGCATTTTTCTTCCTGCTGCCTTTCATTGAAACAACCATTATCACGCCAGATTCTGCGAATGGCATTACGAAATCAACATAGTTGGATTTGTCTGTAGTGATGCTTATATACCCTACTACCGCATCAAACATCTGTTAATCAAAATTATTTTTAATTCATTTCAATCAAAAAGTAAGAAATGATAAAAAAAAAAAGTGTATGAGGATAAGAGAGTACCCCATGATAGAGTTGGCCGATAAACTCATCGCATGTTCCTGCCATCTCCCCATTAGGCGTTGCAAATGGAACAAATTGGTATCGTAAGGCATAAGGCAACACTTCGACCACAGCTTGGAAGACATCAATAAAGAAGCCAGAGATATGTATTAAATTGTCCCTAGGATCTAGGACTACTTTCACATATTCGGCGTAGTTATCTCCAATTTTTACTGGAACTCCTATCCTCAACGTCTTCCCATTAATAGTTGGAATCTCCCATCCCTTTGGGATAGAGTTCATATCCCCTGGCCATATGATTGTTCCAAGATCATTTTTAGAACTAGTATAAATACTGTTGTTTATATCTTTTGAGTCCAAATTTCTAGCCAAACCCTTACTTGGTGTCCAAAATCCAACCCTCTTTTCACCATTACCAATCACATTAATTATCTCATAGGTTGGTGCTTGTAACCTTCCACCAAGACCATCAAATCTTGTGTTTGACAAAGCTTCAATCAATTTCTCACCATTTTGTGCAATACCAAACTTCTCAAACACAGGCATGTAATAATTGCTTGATGTGTTTTTCTCACTGTAACCAAATTGGTTGGTTCCATTTCCAACTTTCTCAACAGCCATTGCTAATCCAACTGTAGCATCATATGCCCATATACCAAAAATGTTCAAATCTGTGTCATCAAGTGTTGGATTATCACTTCTGAATTTTCTTTTCCATCTTTTACTAAAATCATCTAGCTTTTTTGTTCTCCCAATATAAGTCCTAACACCAATTACTCCTTCCATTGATTCCCAGACATTTAAATTCAATGAATTGAATAAATTAGCCATACCGTCAGTTACTATCCAAACATAGCCTTTACTCATCATCCCAATTTTTTTGGCTATGGTAAAAAGTTTAGAGCCAAGAGTTGTTGACATGTGCACAACAAAGACTCTAGTTGGTATAGTAGTCATTATTTTGTAAAGCTCTTGAGTAATGGCATCATCTGTGGCTGAAAAAGAAATTGCACTAAGATAGGTAACTTGAATATTTTGTTGTTGAAGAACATTGTCAGGATACTCACTGTAGTGTGTGTGGTCTTGATACTCGTCTTTCAATACGAAGACGCTACGTTCGCCACACCATTTTCATAACAAAAACTTTGAGATAAAGAATTGGGTACTACCCGCAAGGGTTACTATCCGAGGACTTATCTCGCCCCTAAAAAAACAATTCCAAAATTCAAATGTGACATCTTGCCTCGCATGGCGAAAAATTTTCTTTCAAAAAGGATATGTTACGTCCGTTCTACCGCAAACAGGTAATGCATAAGTCTCCTCACATGCGAGCGGCAAAACGCCTAAACTGCTAGAATGCGCACGATAGCATCATCCATAAAAACATTAACAAACCGTAGGCCGAACTACAGCTGCTCTGATTCTTTACTTCTTCAAGTGAAGATACGTATGCACAAGGGCCACAATCCTTGTCGAGCACATTCCCCCATCTATATACGTAGTCCCCGAACTACGTCAACTTTGACTTTCTCACATCTATTGAGAATACGTAGGCATAGGACTGTGAAGTCCTACTGAGTCTGTTCTTTCTCTTTTCTTCCCCGTTATCCCTCCTTTCTTTGTTGCTAACCCTTTCTCTCTCCCTAGGAAAACACTTTTATAGCATAATCTTTTAAGAAAATATATTCACACATCGACAAATAAATGGTTCCCATCGAGTACGATGGATGCGAGGGGTGTTAATACCTTCCCTTTGCATAACCGGCTTCTGAACTCGTTCATGGTTGCGAGATCATCTTATCCGTTCTTTTCTTAAGGTTTTCTCGATATTTTCCTTTCCCCTCATGGGATAAATAAAGTTCGGTGGAGATTCTTATGTCCTTTCTTTTCGCCTCCCCGTCATTGCATTTTTCGAGTAGTGACAGCGACTACTACCAAGTCCATTAAGAACAAACTAACTTGTTTCACAACATTCTCCATGTACCTGATGGATCTTACTCTCGGCGGTCTTCGTTCCTCAGTAAATCTCATCGTTGCAGAAGTACTTTAAACCATTGCCTCGGTGTAGTCCCCAGCGAGACTATAAGCTGACAACACTTTGGACTGAGCCGGTGATCTCCAAGACAGCAGATATCTTCCCAGCATCTTCCTAGTGATAGTCCCCAACAAGACTTTAAGCTGACAACATTTTGGATTTCCCCGATAAATCTCCAGTAACTCCCGATGCTACAGAGATCTCCCCGGTACTTTCCAAGTGATCCATGTTCTTGAAGATCCATTCTCAGTGGAATCTTCTGTTCCTTAATGAAATGGCCTTACCTTCCTCAGGAAGTACTCCTCAGGAGATTGCCATATTCTCCCCAAGAAGTCAAGTTACTTTCCTAGAAATGTTTTGGTGAATTCTCCCCAGTACGTCTGATGAACTCTCCTCAGGGAAATTCGATATATTTTATCCCCGGTCGGATGTACCTTTCCCCAGGAAGCCGAGGTACTATTCTCAAGAAGTTGCTACATTATCTCTGTGAAGCTGCCTAGCTTTGTATCTTCCCCATGCAGCAGATATTTATTTTATCCCCGGAAGTCTCTGATCCTAAGATTTTCTTCGGTTGATTATGATTCATGATAGCAACCCTCCAGTGAAGTCACGATATCATACTCTCCAGCAAGGTCATACCGTATCCCCATGAGGAAGTTGTGATACCGTACCCCAAGTGGACTATTTTCTCCCCAGAGAATTTGGAACTTTGAAGCCAGACTTGGTTCTACCATCAACTTTTTCTTATTCCTCAATAGATGTATTGTTGCAGAGGTCGCCAGGTATTCCTGTCGAGATGTTTATTTCATCTCATGTCTCATCTCTTATCTATTTTGTCAGCATAAGCATAAGCATGAGCATTACACACTCATTTCATTGTCCTACACACCGACATACGCAGTTAGCATTTGCATGTTTGCTCTTTGTCGTCGTCTTTGTCATTACCACCGAGTAACTGGGTTTATCCTTTCTCTCCAAGTAGATCGTCAGCCCTAAGCATAAAGTACTCATTTGTTTCTAGTTGCCCCACAGAGTTCAACCCTCGTGGACGATGGTTATTTCCGTTATCTTTCTGCGCTAGGATAAGATAATCCCTATTTGAGTTTATTTCCTCAAGGGAGTCTTGTTTGTCAGTTCTTTCTAGCCCCATTCTAGATTGAACTTCGGTCCCGTCGGTCGCCGCACCTACCTGGGAGTGCATTTATTTTGCACTATCTTTCAAGAAAAGCCTTTACAATCCTTTGCAGATATGCGACAGTTCTCTCCTGAGAAGCTTATCACTATATTGCACAACAGACAGGAAACAGTTCCTAGCCGAGGAGCTTAACCTTATTACACTCAGTGATCTCGATGTTTGCCATCATCACAACTTTCTTCACAGTTTACATTACATTTTACCACCTCTACAAGCAATGCTCATCCGAGAAGCTTATCCTTGCTAACCTTGCAAATAAGCAGTATTTTTTTCGCTTAAGAAGCCCATCCTATCTTCGTTATGACTTGCAGCAAATGGCCATCTCCATCGAGCAGTTTGGTTCCCATTTTCTTTTCATCGTGAAGTGTGGAGAGGTTTGAGCTGAATCATGTTCATGGCACCGACCTTGAAGTATGAAGAAGTTCATTTTATCCTTTAGTAAAAGAAGGAGTTGAATCATGTCCATGGAGCCGACCTTGAAGTATGAAGAAGTTCGCTTTATCCTTTAGTAAAAGAAGCAGCTGAATCATGTTCATGGCGCTGACCTTGAAGTATGAAGAAGTTCATTTTATCCTTTATTAAAAGAAGGAGATGAATCATGTTCATGGCGCCAACCTTGAAGTATGAAGAAGTTTATTTTATCCTTTAGTAAAAGAGGGAGTTGAATCATGTTCATGGTGCCGACCTTGAAGTATGAAGAAGTTCATTTTATCCTTTAGTAAAAGAAGGAGTTGATTCATGTTCATGGCGTCGACCTTGAAGTATGAAGAAGTTCGTTTTATCCTTTAGTAAAAGAAGGAGTTGAATCATGTTAATGGCGCCGACCTTGAAGTATGAAGAAGTTCATTTTATACTTTAGTAAAAGAAGAATCTGAATTGTGTTCTAGGCACCGACCTTAAATATGAAAAGGTTTATTTACAAGATGAGTGTCAATCCCTCCAACGGAGCTCATTAATCAATTTTTCATCTATTATTCACAGATAAGCAACAACCTCTTTATTTGAGAGCTTATCAGTTTGACATATAGGTCCCTTACAACGATAAGTGGAAATTCTCTCTTGAGAAGCTTATCAGGGCGGGTCCCATTAAAGTCCATTTATTTTGGCATACAGTCGGTCTTATCCTGTATATTTTCTACGGATTCCTGAAAATTCCGTTTGATCCTGTCACTAGGGAAAGTTTACAGAAGCTTGGATGTTATTCTTTGCTTAATGCTCTAGAATTCTGTTAATCGATCCTACGGCCGTGCAGATCCAGTGTTACTTTTTACTCTAGAGTATCAGCCGGTCACGCCTGAACCTGTTGAAAAATTACTCTCAGATATTCCCCTAATGGAGGTCGTCTCATCGGTGCCATCTCCATTGAGGATCACGTTCTTACCATTCCCTTTCTAAAAGTGATAATTGGTCGCGCTCGCACCAGTTGGTCATCGCTTTAGAATTCCCCAGTGTCGTGTTGTTTCTCAGTGCGTCGTATTCCCTAGGGTAGTTTGTCTGTCGTGTATGTCCCCTGTGTTGTCTGCATCCTTGCATTCATCATTCCAGCATACGCATCATACTAGATTCATGGCGTTGTCAGCATTATATTCCATCTCGTTTTGTCCATAGTATTGCATATCATGGCATCTAAGGGCAAAATTTTCGGTTAACTATATTTAAATCCCTTTCACCATGATTTCTCGAGCCTCCGTCACTCAAATCATCCGGCGAAGTTATTTAAATAGGGACAATTGTAATACCCCAAATTTTGCCCTAAGATTTAGCCGGTTCATCTTGCATTCCATTGCATTTTTGCATTGCATTTAACCAGTCACTAACAAGTTTGTGGAGTTGGTTGATTTTGCAGGAAATAATCACGTGGCGCGATTTTAATTCATGAAGGGTAAAATGGTCATTTGTTTGCATCCAGCCGTCAATTTATGAACTTTGAGTTGTGGTCGGGAAAGTTGGGCTGTTTTGGCTTTGCCGATGTGAGTCGGGGCCGAGGTATGGTCGGAAGCGTTTGGATAAAGAGGATTTGTGTTGTTCAAATTGGGTCGTCTCAAGTTATTGGACTGAAGTTGGTCGGAAAATTTTGTTCATTAAGTTTAATCAGACAATTGGATTTATCCGGATAAAGCTGCTCATTTGAAATTGTCGGAGGTTTGATCGAAAGTTGTGTCGGAGGCGGAATTAATCGGATAAATTGGAGGAATTGGAATTATTAGGAAAATTGGAAGTTTCATTTCATTTTCATTTCTTAATATTATTTTCATTTTTATTTCATAAAAAAATCAATCTATTTTCATTTTATTTAGTTAAATTCATTTTTAGGACAAACATATTTTAAAATTAATTTTATTTCATTTTTCTTAATTTATTTTATTTTTTTTATTTTTATAAAATATCATTTCATTCTTAGGTTTTATGATTAAAATGATTTTTAATTTATTTGCTGGTATTGGGTTTTATTAATAATAATTTTATTTCATTTTTATATATTATTTCATTTATGATATATAAAAAGGGGATAATTTTATTATAAAGAAATAACATTTCCATTTTTGCAATATCCAAAAATAAATTAAAAACATTTATTAATGTTATTAATTTTGTACAAAATGATAAATAAACAAAATTAGAAAAAAAAAATTAAAACAAAATTACAAAAATAATAATAAATTACATTTTTATTTTTTTCTCTAAAAATTTTCTAAGTGATCCTATGCCTCCGATTATCCGACTTTT